TCTAGCACAGAACAAGGGGCTACATTTGTAATTATCATATTATTTTTTCATTTCTATTCTACTGAGATTTAAACATGAAGAATTTGATCCAGAGGCTACTGGAGGCAGCAGGTATCTACGTTTACTTCCACACCCACCCAATTAAGCCAAAACTGGAGTCCTGTCTTAAAGGCTTTTGGTGGCCTGCACCCAGGGTACTGAGAGGCTCCACTCTGAGATGAAGACCACAGCCAAGAACTACAGCATGACTGAACATTTTTAGGAAAGGCAACCCTGTTTGCCTAGGCAAGAGTTCTTTTGTACAGAATGAGACAAGTCTGTGGAGACTTTCCCACAACTAAGGGCAGTGCAGAACTTTTACTGCCTTTTTTAAGCGCAAGGTACATTACTCTGACCTTGTTTCCTTTTCACATTTCCTTGTTCGCATTTCCTTGCTCTGAAATGTACATAAATAAACTCACCACACATTTCCCTGTGAGTCTGTGCCTGTATATAGAAGAACATCCTGCAAACTTCTTTCCTAGAGACAAGCTGACACCAGACTAAAGCAGAAATTAGTCACTTTGTTGCTGGGATCTACAAATTCATTGTAACTCTAGAACACACCAGGACGCTGGAATTGTAGGACTCCAAAAAGAAACCGAAGGGAAGTCTTGTCTTTATTTGTGTTCTATTACAAAGACACACCAAGAGAGCTGGGGTTATTCAGCCTGGAAAAGAGAAGGCTCTGAGGAGACCTCATAGGACCTCTCATTACCTAAAACAGTTCAGAAGAGAGTTGGAGAGGGACTTTTCACAAGGGCATGTAGTGATAGGACAAGAAATAGTGGCTTCAAACCGGCACAGGGCAGGTTTAGAGGAGATGTTAGGAAAACATTCTCTACTGTGAGGGTGGGGAGGCACTGGCACACATTGCCCAGAGAAGCTGTGGATGCCCCATCCCTGGAAGTATTCAAAGCCAGGTTGGATGGAGCTCTCAGCAACGTGGTCAAGTGGAAGGTGTCCCTGCCCATGGCAGGGATCTGGAACTGGATTAAGATTCCCTCCCGACCAAACCATTCTATGATTCTATGAATTTGCTATTGCTATTTTTGAAATGAGGAATATGCAGTAACTGCTACAACTGAGCTTTATCCCAGTATTGATATTTAAACTTTCAGAAAAAAAAAAAAATAAAAATTAACATATTTAAAATCTTAGGGAAAAAAAAATAGGATTGCAATTTCCTGTGCCATCCTTTTTACACTATTGGCTTGAATTTTGTCCTGATGTTTGCCCTGGTGCACCCACAAGTCAAAGTTTTGTGCACTGTTTCTTTAGCCAAAGTTTAATTACAGACCTGTACACACAGAATGCCAGCTTGTGCCTCTGCTGCTCTTCAGCCACAGTTCATAATGATAAACTGGGATGTAACAGCTGCTTTGTCTGGTTTGGAATGATTCTGCAGTCTGGTTATATCTCCAGCGTTCCTCAGTCCACAATTTCAACATAGAAAACATTCAGACCAGAGTGATGGGAGACAATGACAGTCATTTGAAATGAGGTTTGGCAACAAATTTTCTGACAAATGCTCCGGGATAATGCTGGTGGAAAGAATTGTACTCCCGGAGATGTGACTTGTTAATTCAGTCTGAGGGAAGAAGATTCAGAGCCATCATTTATTGGAACCTATTACAGGACTTAATCTGAAGATTTTGACATACTTCCAAGACAAATAGGCTACCACGAGTGAGACATGTTCAATAAGGTGTGTATTGTAGGAAATGAGGGCTGTAATTGCCATGCTGAGAGAGCTTGTTTTCTATGCAATTTAACGACCTCCTTCTCGCAGTGTCCCTTCCGACACAATGTGATTCTGAGATGAATCACGCCAAGCACATGGAAAGGGTCTTTATCATCACACAGCAGACTTGACCAAATGGTTACTGCTTATTATAGGTGGGTACCGTAGGATTTGAGCCCCACAAAGTAAAACATTAGGAATTACATCTCCTGTAATGCTTGGGCCTCTTCATTAAACATCATGGGGGTGTTTATAGTTTCCTTGTTACTCTGCAAATCACAGCAGTGGCCCAAGTTTTTCGGCACAAGGTTTCTCTTCGCTTGTAACAGTGAGTTAGACTGAAATTTGTACCAGATAGCTCCACTCAGCAGCACAGATTATGATAGAAACAAATCCAATCCTGTTTGTCCTTAGCACTTAACCAAGACATACTTACTTCATCTTTTCAATCTTTCTTTGTTGAACAGTTTCCCCAGTCATGTCAGAATATCTGTCACCATTTCCTGACCTCTCTCCAACTGCTGATTTTCCCACCTGATACTAAGGCAGGAAAAGAAATTTGCCATCTTGGCTGCAATCCACATAATTGAGGAAAAAATGTGGAATGAGAGAAGTGTAAAGATGAGGGTCGCTTATTGTGCAGGGTTGCAACAACGAAATAAATACTTACAAAATATAGGGTGTAGAAATTAAACAACCTTTTTAAGATTTTAAAACCTGACAAATACTGAAGGCTACACTACATGTAACAATTTCTCCCTATGTTACCTATATTCATATATGTACTTGGAAATGTCTGTGGTTATTTCTACTGCACTGCTTTGGGGCTCCAAGGAATCCTGGAGCTTCTGCCCCCCAGAACATTTTATTGCTGCAAGAACAGCAGTTCTTGATAACTAACTTTCGTTTGTTTAGCTTAGAGTGCCTAAATGTAACGAGTTGCCCAAGCTTTGCTTCTCTTACAGTTCTGGTGTTATAGGTGGTGCTGTTTTCAAGATGTGCTTTTTGCATATGCATCGAATAATTGGATGACTGGCAGCGTTACAGTCTGCCCTTAAAATCTGAGTGCCTGTTTAGTGGTTGTGAAGTGATAGAAATTAGTATTACTAAAATTTCTCCCACCTAAATTAGGAGAAATGTTGTTTCCCTACACACGGTGGATGTTCTGCTCTTCAGACCAGCCAGTGCTAACAAATACCACCACTAAGAGAAAGTTATTTCAGTACGTCAGCTGGAGTTTGCAAGTTTCCCCAGCCCATCCTCGTGGGCTTTAAGCAATGTTTAAGAGCATGGCTAAGTTTTCTCGGGGACACCGCACTGCCATGGAGCCTTCAAATTCCTTTTCGCACCAGGCACCCAATACACATACAGCATTAATTCATTTTTATCGTTGCCACGTCCATCCACAGCGGCTCCCCACGGTGGAAGCGAACAATCAGCCTGAGCTTTGCTGTGCTGGGGCGTTTCCCAGGACACTTTCCAGGCTCCAGGTGAGCGCAGCTTTCCCGGCACAGGCAGCCCCGGGAGGCCGCGATCGGGGCCTGCGTGGGGGTGACCCAACCACGGCGCCTCCGAAGGCTCTGCCCAGGGTTGGACGGAGCAGCAGCCAGGGCCTGTGGGGCAGGATGGCCCCGGGCAGCCCTGCTGGTTTTATCCAGGGGCCCACTTCTGCCCGGCCCGAGCCCCCCGACCCCGCCGCTCCCGCCCCGGAAGCGCCGACCGGCTGCCCGGAACCTCTGGAGCCGGAACGCAGGTTGGCGGCCTGGGGGCCGGGCCGGAGCGCTGCACCGGGTGGACCGTGGGCAAGATGGCGGCGGCCGTGGCGGGCCCACATGGGCACGGGGCCGCAG